ATAGACTATTCTAAACTGTTGAACAAAAACACTATTGCCTATAACTAATTAGTCTATTGATATTTCGTTAGTTGAACATACCTTTATACAAATCCACGAACAACAAAAGAACATAATGCGCTATTATGTATAATGCGACTAAAGCATTTTGCAGATCCATTGAATCCCACGAGCAAACGCGCTAATCGCCAATGATCTGACATTCGAATTCGTAAAAACAAAAGGTATATCGCTATTATTGAAAGTGTAGGTTTAATGAAACAAAATTTACCTTTCGAGAAGAAGCTTTCTGCTAAACTATATTTATTAATCGCGCCATTACCGCAGAAAACATAAGTATTGTTGATATGATTGACATTGCTTGTTCGTTTAGTGTTTCTCATATGATTTGCCAATATTATACTTGATCCATTAGTCACTTAAATCATTCTAGAAGCATATAAGATGTACAACAGTTTAGTTTACTGCAGTGGATGATTCATTTCTAATTGTATCGACGAAACATATTAATCAACCATAGGAGACTTTGAGTTACTGCTTCTATCAACCTATAACTAGAGATCGTTGAAACTGTTACCGCTTGAAGTTATATCCCATCGTCAGCGAATTGGATTGAACAAACCAAAAAAAAAACAAGATTAGTGAACGCAAATCGCAAAGTAATCATATTTACGTAACTATTGGAACAGCACGAAATCAACCTAGTACATAATACAATAGCATATATTCTGTGTAGCAATAATTATTTGAACGTTGGAAAAGTCCTTATCGGAAAATGGAATATACATCGGAGCGGTATTAAAGCAGCAACATGCTGCTAATTCAAACACATAAATGGCGGATCGTCACACTGTCAAAGGCAAATCAAGACAACCAAAATATGAACACAGCTTCATTGTGCAGACCAAGCAATCTAGCGAGAAATGGAAGACCCAAAATCCATACAGCAACTTTAGAAAATTCTTCGCTCGTACCTTTTGCAAAACAAATATCGATTGTTCTATTACTTCTATTAACCGGGTACATTCACTATCAGGAATGAATAAAAATCATTACAGACGAAAGCATTCAGTTAGATTACCTGAAAATAATAGTAAGAAAAAGAGAAACACCTGTGTTATTATCTGACGGATTTACTGTTATTATTATTATTACTACTTACTATTGTATTTAATTCCACCGCAAAAAGGTCATGAAAGAAAACTAAAAAAAATAAAACATACAAAAATTCAGTCAATTGCAATGATGTTTTACTTTTGTATTAAATATGAGAAAGCCTGAAAAAATCTAATGAATTGTTGTAGACGTGGATACTATTGAAATTTACTGTGGATTGTTATGTTTGATTCACAACCCACCCACACTAAGTAAAAAAAGTTACCATGGAACCGTCAACAATTTAAGATTACGAAAAGCGATGTAATATTTTCACCTCGTGATGTCATGTGAACGGTTGGCAATAACGTGAATTATTTTGGAGCAGCGGACTCAAACTGCTAAAGCCAAGTTTTGATGATCGATCCTATTGATTATTGACGCTAACTTGATATATTCTCATATATTCGTTATTCGTTGTGAGTCAGGTAACACAATATTAAAAGCAACAATTGTCGCTCCGAGAACTGATAATCAAGCCAAGCTATAGACCAAACAGACATTCGGTTATTGTCCTATTATAGTTCTTACCAATTAATTCCTGTTTTCCATGAAAGAAAAAAACACTATCCGGAGGCTCGCCATCGGTGTGGTCATATTGGGTCATATTATATTCGGATCCATAGGATTTTAGGGAGCTTCAAAATTCAGAATGTCGAGGAAGTGATGAGGACAGTATTTCAGATCATTATGGTACGTTTAATTTTTAAGTTTAAGTTTCAAAATCAAAAGCAATTACTAATTACAGATACACGTGAAGAATGGATTCAGGAGGAATCATTTTCAACCCAATCGGTGGGATATGATTCAGGTGATGCAAGTGGATCGTATTCTGAGAATTCACCGTCGTCTTCGACAGGACCGGAACGTTCAGCTGCGAAAAGAAAAGAAAAACGTTAGCATGCAGCAGGAGATTCGACAAGAGATCCGAATTGACCATAAAGTCTGGAACGCGCAAAAATTGGTCAACTTCAAATTGGTGCAGTTCTGTTAAAAATGCATACACACAAAAAACAAACATTGTTGCTATAAAAATAATGCAAATTTAAAATAAAAGTTTCGCAAATTTCGTAGTTTTAACAGTGAAAATTTTCAAAACGGTTTGAAAGTTTTTCTTTCACTTATGACTTGTAATTTTAAAATTGCATTGTTTTTTTTAATAAAAGTTGTTCAACCACAGACAAACAGACATAACACCTTGAATATTCATCACTGTAAAACATCGTCGCTAAAACATTAGCGCCATCTGTTGAGTACACTGTGGTACGCTGAACAGATGGCAGTAGTGTGTAAACGTCAAGCGCAAGGCAATTGAATATGCGCGCCACAGGTGGCGGTACTACCAACTACGATACTTTTAAATTGACCGTTAAATGCATGTTCAATGAACAACTTGCGAGTGTTATGTATGTTTGTCTGTGGTTCAACTGTCAAAAATACTTCTTCATAGTAACGTTTTTGGCAGCACTGAACCCTACATTATTTGCCGCCAAAGTAGATTTGACGAGACGAGAAAAAAAATCGTTCTATGGAAATTCAATGAGTTAAATTAGTGTTCGGAAGCTGCCTCCGGTGATCAATTGTGATTCAGCCGCTGCAACAGGGCATGTAGGTGAGTTAGAAAATTCTTTTTCTTAGGATCGATTAAATTTATGTTTACATTGTAGCTACGCTTATACTTGACAAACAAGCGCTTACATCGGATGGTTCCGGCCAACAAATCCCGTAACAGAGTGAAGCGTCTCGACCGAAAAAGACTATCCTTATAACAAACCCCGTTACATGGCACCCAACCCATCATTCCGGAATCTGACCACCAAACGTACGTGGGCGTAGAACAAACACAGTTCGAAAAGTAGTGTAAATTTCTGTTCAATATGATGCACATAAATGGAGCGTCATATATCATATAAGTTTACATTATATATCATGTAAAGTTCAGGCACATTTCATGCAATGTAGCAAACATTGTATACAAAAGTCCATCTTTGTAAACAACATTGTTTACAAGTTGCTCGGTTGCGTGAAATTAAATTTAAGTTTACATGAATGAATGTTTACATCACAATTAAAATTCAGAATTTTTATCTGTGTATGAACGTATACAAGGCAATGATGTACAGGGAATTACCCATTAGTGAGCTGGTTTTGGTCCAGCTGAAAGATGTCTTCACGGCGAATAAGAACACCCAAATTTGAGTTTAGTTCACTCATAATCGCCAAAAGTGCAGGAACTCAGCGATGAGTAAAATTTGTCTCATGGTTTCTTGTAGAAAACCTAAAAAATCTGCAGGAAAATCAGAAAATTGACGAAAATTTTATTCAGTCTCGGAGCAGTACCAACAGACTGAGTGAATCCAATCTTTACTTTTCTCAAATTTGGGAATTTTTCCTTGGAAAATCTTGGAAAAACCTGGGAAAACATGAGGCAAATTTACTCATCGCTGAGCTCCTGCACTTTTGGCAATTGACCACTTTGTCAAGCAGTTTTGGCGTGACTTTCTACCAGCGATTTCACAAAACTGGACCAACTAATTTCTATTTTTTTATAAAACGCACAAATGTTGGCTACTTTTCTCGAGGTTCTAGAAGAAAAAATCTCAAAATAATGTTTCATTTCAAAGTTCGAGTGGTAGTAAACGTCATTTTATCTGCTCGAATGAAGTGGTTAATTATGAGTGAACTAAACTCATATTTGAGTCGTTCTCATTCGCCGTGTTCAAGAATGCCGTTTCCATTGAGTAGTACGAAATGACCGTGGAGCTTAGGCTCAACTCAATTGGGAGATTGCCGTAAAAGCTCGTCGCAGATGTCGCTACTGTATGATGATGATAATGTTGACAGACTGCATATAAAATTCGTGAAAATTAGCATTAAATCATAATTTTCATCAAGCCTGCGTAAAATCCTTCCAATATAACATTCGAATTGAAGAAGAAAATGTTTTCACGATCAGACTGATAAGCATCTTTGACTTTTCCAGATGAACTTTCATTAGATATATTCATTTAATTTCACAGCTCCATCAATGCTGCATTGTACATTTGATGTAAACAGAAGTAAATTGCTCAATTACTCAAAATAAAGATGATTTGTCATCTTGTTATCACTTTATAAACCATCGAGCACCATTTTATAGTATGGTGCGTGTTGAGTTAATCAAGTTCCGTTGCGTTTTCCGTCGAAAATTGTGAGTATCAATATGTTTACTTAAAAAAGGCTAAAATGAACATTGACGTCCTATACAACCATTTCTCCATTATCACCAGCATGATACAATCTTTCTTAAGTAAATTCACTTAATTTATTCTTTCATCCTAGTGAAAATCGCACATATTCACCATTTCCGAAAAATTCAGCTGCGCTGGAGGTAACCTCCTCGGTAACCTCTTCCTGTGGGTGCAAACTTGTTATGCATAATTTTCCATGAAAACATCTCCGATCCATACCGAAATAATAACAGTTAGTTTGCAAACACGTTTTCTTACACGATTCAAGCAAAAGTTTCCACTGGAAATTATCAGTTTTTCTTTATGCACCGATTTGCCCCAAAAATCGTCTGTTTTACTTGGAGAATTTGGAAACTATTCTCCTTCTAGTAGTTCTCACTTCGATATGTAGGTGGCGAAAGCTTGGAAAAGTTTCACTGCAAGACGCCAATCCGAAAATCGAAAATCGGGATGAAAAAGATCCAAGATCGCCCAATCCTATTTTGAAAAAGCGTGTAGATCAGTCCGCACAAGGAGATTTGCGTACAGTGCACAATCTCTTGTCGTACCCGTCAATTTTGACAGTTTTATGTGGTTTGTTTTCGGCTCCCATTCGATGCCACCTCAAGCAAAAGTGAGGTTAGGGACCGTGTACTAATCTGTAGCTGTGTTGCTCTTTGTTTATTTATTTAAATGTAAAGGAAAAACATTTTTTGTCATCCTATTATTTATTTAAACGCAAAGATATCGTTCAATTTATAACCCACCGCTGTGCTTTGCTGGAAAAATGTCCGACGGTGACGTATTTATCCTGGATAATGGGGCGTTCTATGCCAAGGCGGGAATGTCTGACTGGAACAAACCAAAGTAAGCACTTATCTACATGTTCGTCGGTACAGCCGGCATTGGATTCTGAGGTAGGGTCATTAACAGTTTCCGCATTTTTGTCCAGGACCGTTTTGAATTGCATCACCAAAGCAAAGTCTGAGCGACGACGTCCGTTCGTTGGCAACCAGATCGAAGAGTGTCGCGATGTGTCCGGACTGTTTTACATACTGTGCTTCCAGCGAGGATACCTGGTCAACTGGGACATTCAGAAGACGGTGTGGGATTACATGTTTAGCCAGGAGTGCTGCTCAGTTAGTTTCGTAGAAACTCCTCTGTTGATAACTGAGCCCCTATTTAACTTCCAGTCGATTCAGGAAGCCATGCTGGAGATTCTGTATGAAGAGTACGATTGTGATGCGGTGTGTAAAACGACTTCCGTCGATCTAATTGCTTTCAACTATGTGCACGGAGATCACAGTATTAAACCCCTATGCTGTGTAGTGGTCGATATGGGTTATAGTTTTACCCACATTGTCCCTTTTATCAAGGGAGCAAAACTGAAGAAAGCAATCAGGCGAATAGACGTTGGGGGGAAGCTACTCACAAATCATCTAAAAGAAATCATTTCCTACCGGCAGCTGAATGTGATGGATGAATCGTATGTGATAAATCAGGTTAAGGAAGACAGCTGTTTCGTTTCCCAAGATTTTAACGAAGACATGCGAATTGCTCGTAAAAGATATCCAGACAATTCCATCGCTCGTGATTATGTGCTACCTGATTATACACAAATCCGTAGAGGTTACTTAAGACTTTTGGATCCAACAAAGAACTCGAATGATGAATTACAAACGTTGCGACTGAACAACGAGCGGTTTGTGATTCCCGAAGTACTATTCCACCCGTCCGATATAGGAATACAGCAGATGGGTGTAGCAGAAGCAATTGTGGATGCCATCAATGCTTGTCCGGACGAGACCAGGCCACACCTCTTTAGCAACATAGTCGTTTGTGGAGGATGTGCCCTGTTTAGTGGAATGCAATCACGGTTACAAAAAGATGTTCGAGCTTTGGCGCCTGAAGAGTTCAATGTCAACGTCATCGTGCCGAAAGAGTAAGTAGTATCCATCATTTTTAAATACGGAACTTGATTTCTGTAACCCATATTTGTTTCCTCTCTATCTCAGTCCTATTACCTACGCTTGGCAGGGAGGAAAGGAATATTCGCAGTCGCTCAGCTTTCTTAAATCCTGCATGAGTCGGAGTCAATATGAAGAAAATGGTATAAAACATTTAATTGAAAAATATGATCATTGAGTACAGAGGTAAATGCTTTTGTTCACTTTGTAAAGAAAGAATCAACCATGCTAAGTGCTACCCATTAACGCGACATATACATTTATTCGACAAATGTTGGACAGTAAATACGGCTGAATTAACATAAAATGTAAATATTATCTAGAACATTGGTATGCTTGAAACGTAAACACGGGAACGACACAAAACTGAAATATTAACTAAATCTGGCGTAATCAGAACATAAAATGATAATTATGTTGATGAAAATAAGAGAAATCCCACGTCAGAACTAGGTCGTATATCTTTAACATTAACTTAGTTCTGGTAGACCATTCTCTCATCCGAGTAATTATATATGGCAATATATGCATGCTGGTTTAGTACTGCTGACGCCTTCTGGCAGCTCTTTGCTTATCGAAGCGTAGCTCCATTTCCTCCAGAACCTTCGGAGTGTATCGGACGACTAATTTTACGGATCCAACGGCTTGCTTAAGCAGTTCTACAGCCTTTTCATGATTCTCGCCTTCAACCGATACACCATTCACAGAAAGCAGTTGATCGCCTCGCTTTAGTCCACCGTGGCGATCTGCAACACCCCCGGGGATTATGCGAGAAATGTAGATGGGTGAATTTTGTTCCTTTCCACCCATAACGTTGAAACCGAGACCTGATCGGGAAGGAAAATAAAAACTAGTACATTCGTCCTGCCGAAATATACCTACTCCTTGCTTTCCGTTCGTATCATTCTTTATGGAATGGAATGCAGGATACCTTCTACAATATTGTACCACATACACACCTTCATCTGTCTTTGGTAACTCAACAACCCGCGGATGGGCATGTCCCTCGCTAGCTGCGAAGGCTGCAATAGTTGCTTTAGCTGTTGCAGAAGCCCGCACGTCCAGAGAGCCCTGGATGTCCACAGTTTCATAGACGTGCTCGTACACCTCACGCACAGCGTTCAAAAAATCACTCTGGAGAACCTTCTGCAAGGCAGCCAGCTTAGTTGCTGGTACCTCTCCACTCATCTGCAGCTTTTCCAGAAGCTCTATTGAACGTTTCACATCTAGAGTAAAAGAATCACGGTTAATAGTCTAATTTTACAAATTCATGTTATTTTTAGCCGGAGCTGAAGTAATCCGAGCAAATACCTTTGGCTAGGGTTAATGGTTCGCAAACGTTGGCCATTTTCTTGGCTAGAAGTAAAAATCAAACTGTTGGCGACGATGCAATCGATTTTCCTTACTAAAGATTATAGTTCACTTCCTCGCGTCTTGCTGTTTCGTCATCCACTCACAATTAAATCAAAAATAATTTGGAATCGTGTGACAGCTACTCGCACCACCTTCGAGGACCGTTTTTCGTCCAAAAATGGTAAAAATTAGTATTTTTGTAAATAAAAATAGGTAATGTTATTTTTTCATCCAACACTGATAGAGCTCACTCGCGCACCACAAACGAAACGATCCGCACCCCAAACACATCAATGAAAAAAGACGTGCTTTTGACAGACGACAACGTCATTACTCCGGGATTTTAGAACGACATGTTCATCATCAACCAACGTCATTGCATCATCAAAGGGTGGTGTGCGTGATTTTAGGTTTAGTGCACCGACAAACACGCTATTTCTAAATAACCCTAATTTGAGTAGGATCTACTCATATCTGTCAAAAGTAAGGCTACCCAGCCGGCGCCGGTGGTGTAGTGGTAAGCGTGACTGCTTTCTCACCCTAATGGGTCTGGGTTCAATCCCAATCGAGGTCGGTGGGATTTTTCTGAGGCATAAAAATTTCTGGTCACGTCTTCCTTCGGAAGGGAAGCACAGAGAACAGACGTTCAAGTTCGGTCAGAAACTTGTGTAAAATAAGTGGGAACGTCGCCGTTACGTGGTGTTAGCACAGAGAACAGACGTTGAAGCTCGGTCAGAAACTTGTGTAAAATAAGTGGGAACGTCACCGTTACACAGCAAAAAAAAAATGTAATATCGATCAATGTAATTCAAGCTGATGTATGAAATTATGATGTAATAGCAAAAAGCAGATACAATATTATATCAATGGATGTAATTTTGTTCGCAAAATCGATGTACATCGTACAACCACAGACAAACAGACATAACACATTGAATATTTCTCACTGTAAAACATCGTCGCTAAAACATTACCGCCATCTGTTGAGTACACTGTGGTGGGTAGTACGCTGAACAGATGGCGGTAGTGTGTAAACGTCAAACGCAAGGGAATTGACTATGCACGCCACAGGTGGCGGTACTACCAACTACGATACTTTTAAATTGACCGTTAAATGCTTGTTCGATGAACAGCTTGCGAGAGTTATGTCTGTTTGTCTGTGGTACAACGTTATATTACACAACCGATGGATTGACCTGGTTGCAGCAGTTTGGATGTAATTTCACAGAGAACAGACATGGAGGCTCGAACAAAATTTCTCTAAAAACTTGTGTAAAGATTCCTATTCGACTTAAGCACCACTAACGGCGACTTCCCCACTTAAAAAACCTCTTTGACAGCATGATGGCGCTGGCGTTGCACAAATTAAACTAGACACTAAGTGCTAGTAGCGCCAAGTGGCAATTTTCAACAGAAAATTTATCGATACTAGCGCCAAATTGGTCGAAAGTGGAAAATTTATAGAGAAAAATCAGGAGATGCTAACACCACGTAACGGCGACGTTCCCACTTATTTTACACAAATTTCTGACCGAACTTGAACGTCTGTTCTCTGTGGTAATATTCAACAACTTTTTTTTATGTGTACGTGGTGTTAGCATCTCCTGATTTTCTCTCTAAATTTTCCACTTTCGACCAATTTGGCGCTAGTATCGATAAATTTTCTGTTGAAAATTGCCACTTGGCGCTACTAGCACTTAGTGTCTAGTGTTATTTGTGCAACGCCAGTGCCATCATGTTGTCAAAGAGGGTTTTTAAGTGGGGAAGTCGCCGTTAGTGGCGCTTAAGTCGAATAGGAATCTTTACACAAGTTTTTAGAGAAATTTTGTTCGAGCCTCCATGTCTGTTCTCTGTGAGGGAAGTAAGCCGTTGGTCCCGGCCCATGTGTGTTGATGAATGGGTGCGATATCCTACGCAGGTGTGGAAGCTGCCTTCCTGCACATTCGATTGCGATCAATGGATGGCAATCGATGTCCGTCGGTGATTGGCACTAGATTGCGGAACAGAGACCGACGTTAAATAAAGGAAAGAAGGCTACCCAAAAAATTGAGTAAACAAAGTTGGAACTTGACGGCACCGCCGAAAAATCGTCTCTTCTAGCAAAGATTGACAGTTTCTTATGGGAACTTTCAGTGGAGTGAGAGGATTTGGCGCTGGCGTTGCACAAATTACACTAGACACTAAGTGCTAGTAGCGCCAAGTGGCAATTTTCAACAGAAAATTTATTGATACTAGCGCCAAATTGGTCGAAATTGGAAAATTTATAGAGAAAATCAGGAGATGCTAACACCACGTAACGGCGACGTTCCCACACAAGTTACACAAGTTTTTAGAGAAATTTTGTTCGAGCCTCCATGTCTGTTCTCTGTGATTTGGCGTTGACGCCATACCACAGAGAACAGACGTTCAAGTTCGGTCAGAAACTTGTGTAAAATAAGTGGGATCGTCGCCGTTACGTGGTGTTAGCATCTCCTGATTTTTCTCTATAAATTTTCCACTTTCGACCAATTTGGCGCTAGTATCGATAAATTTTCTGTTGAAAATTGCCACTTGGCGCTACTAGCACTTAGTGTCTAGTGTAATTTGTGCAACGCCAGCGCCATCATGCTGTCAAAGAGGTTTTTTAAGTGGGGAAGTCGCCGTTAGTGGTGCTTAAGTCGAATAGGAATCTTTACACAAGTTTTTAGAGAAATTTTGTTCGAGCCTCCATGTCTGTTCTCTGTGGCCATACCGTCGAAAAATTGTCTCTTCTAGAAAAGATTGACAGTTTCTTATGGGATTTTTTCGGTGGTGTGAAAGGATAGTACGAAGTCCTCCATGTTTCACGCACAGTCTGACGTTTGCATTGCTTATGGATTTTACCTGATTTTACCATAGGAGCAAAGAGCTACAGAGTCGCCATCAACGCCAATTGATGTTAAAACTTTTGCTGACAATCTATCGTATCTTTGTGGGATCGTGAAGCATACTGTTCATAAAACAACGCGTTGCCAAGTAGCTCTCCATAAGAACAAACGAATGTTCAAATCTGTTAAAAGGACAAGGCAGGACAAGGAAGATTTGTACCTTCGAAGATGGCAAACTGTATCAATCGTAAGATTTTTTTTTTAATTCATTGGGATGCTGTAAAGGCAAACAAAAAGTGATGACTAAGCTGATTGAAGCTTTCCTAAACCTTACTATAAAAACACAGACACACACACACACACGCACACACACTAGAAGAGGTTCGGATCACAAATTTACGACATTTTAACCTTTCTGCAGAATCAACCTTTAATTGCTCCTCAAATTTTACATCAGTTATCCTACGTTCATTCATTGCTAGTATTGTTTTTTGGTGAACATAAATACAATGTATTATTATCTAACTACGATTCCGTTTTTTTTTGTTATACTATGTAATCAATATTTTTTGTATTTTTTTAAACTGTAGTAATGATAGTTGAGTGCTTTTGTTTACATATTTCTAGAAGCTTTCGCCTCTCTTGTTCAGACTTTTCATTTCTTTTCTAGATGTTTTGCATCTTTCGTGTTACTAGTAGGAATTGTTAATGTTTTCTGTTATTGTTTGTTGAATTTTAATTGTGTACTTTTTGCACATTGTCCATAATCCATATGAATAGTGTTGGCGTGAAGCAAGAAAAAAAAACTCGCCACATCATTCAACTGAATTTTCGTGGCTAACATTATACTAGACTACACTACACTGTTAGGCATTATATGTAGAGTTTATTCTACATGTACCCTTTATTCGTTTACCGCAGATACAGATGCTCTATACAAATTACATATGTATTTGTTTTATATTTAGTAATGTAACATATTTTTTTCTAATTTAAATTAAAAAAAACGAAAACTAAGTATTGCTTTTCGGTTTTCATTACAAATCAAATTGATGTACATTTAGGTACGAGAAAGCAATAAGTTCTTATTGATCAACGTTAAGGATTCCCAACAAACATTGAAAGCTGAATTACAGCTTATACAGTCAAAAGTAGTAGACTAACAACAGGTTAAAGCAGCATTTAAAAGACTAACATGTTTGTTGGGTTGTGAACACTAGCATGAGGATAAACTAAATTTAAAGAAATGAAAAAAATACAATTTGATGGTTTGTGTGCATCACATTTTGTTAAGCGTGCGTAATGCTTTGAATGATGTTTAAGGGTACGATGATACTACTTCTTGCCAGTATTACTACCATTATTCTGATTACTAGTGCCGTAGTACAAAGTTGGTAGGCTGGTGCCAAGATTGTTGCCAGACATCTTCGTGGCACTGTTGTTGGTGTGCTGCTGCTGTGGAGCAGCGAATGGTCCGAACTGACTAAAATACTGCTGCTGTTGTATTGTTGGAGCTTGAGCGTGTTGCATGTAATCGAAACTAGCGGGATGGTGTGGAACCATCGCCGAGGCTGCTAGTTGTTCCGCTGTCATTTGATTAAGGGAATATTGCTGTTGTTGTATGGTAGGAATACTTTTCTGTGAAGAAGAAAATAAATTCGGCATTAGGGGCCATTGGTGATTGGAAGTATGCATCCTACGAACTTAATACTCGTGACGTCACACTTTCGAATCCGAATGCGAATGATATTCATTGTGAGCCTTGTTAACAGGTCGTTTCTGAGGAAAGTAGGTAGTTGGTATTGTTGGTATTTTGACGTAGGACTACGTCTTTCATTTCTATATGGGGGTACACTTTGTGAAAACCGAAAATGGAACATGAAACAAAATTATGGAAGATTTTGAACATTAATAACTCAGCTGCTCCTGGACCAATTTCAATAATTTTATCACCAATCGATCAGAAATATTTTTACGCATCCGACTTATGATTTTTAACGATAAGCTATTGAAAAAGTGGTAATGTCAAGCATTGTGCAATGTACAAATAAAAAGTGATAATTTTATCACTGTTAAACGTTCTTCCCAAACCCAGTCCTCATAATCGAGTACCACTTGGTTGCACATCATTCTGCTTTAACCTGAAAAGATATAAAGCAGCGCTGCTGTATGGCAACAGCTCATTTTCGCTTCGGACGGCGAACGGCAACAAGCAACAAGTGACTGGTCGTGGCAAAGGAGGAAAAGGTGCCAAGCGTTATCGCAAAGTTCTTCGAGATAACCACCATCCGTCGTCTGGCTCGCCGTGGCGGTGTCAAACGTACCTCCGGTCTGATCTACGAGGTGTGCTGAAGGTGTTCCTGGAAAATGAGATCCGTGATGCTGTCACCTACACTAAACACGCCAAGCGTAAGCGGCCATGGGTGTCATCTACGCTTTGAAGCGACAGAGACGCACTCTGTACGGTTACGGTTTAAATCATCACCAACTTTGGAAACAAAACGGCCCTTTTCAGGGCCACCATGCTTATTACAGTTATTGCCTGTTTGTCCATATTCAGAACCACACACCCCCAACGACCACACAAAATGCTCATGTAACCTTACTTGGACAAATGACTTTGATCGATTCTCTTCATCAACTTTTCCTTTGAATCGCCACGGCTGGATATTTTCGATGGAAGAAGCAACAATCTAGCATCTAATTCGACGAAGACGGCCATTTTTGAAGCCGAGTTATTTACGATAGAGAGTCGATGAAGAGAATCGATCAATGTAGATAGAACCTATTAAAAAGTGACGCGAGATTTGTTTTCCGTGCTGAGCACCAATGCTACTGACGCCAGGGAGGCAGCTCCCACATCTGGACCCTACTTATCGATCCATCAACTCAACCGGGGACCAACGGCTTTACTTCCCGAAGGAAGGCGTGATCGGAGAGATGTTATGCCTTTGAACTTTCTCTTTGAAATAAATACTACAAATTTGATACGCTTACAAATAAAGGAAAGAGTTAAGATAATTGATGATTGATCAATTAAAAGAACTAAATGTTCACATTTGTTCCGTCCACTAGCTGTCCTACGTCAAGCTTCCGTTCGTGCCCCTAGGCACAGGCCCTTCTACTTTTTTTTTTAATCTAAATGACCAGGAATCCCAGACAACCAGAATGCATCTATATCAAAGTTGTTTTTTAAGATATACAAGCATATAAATCTATTACAATACAAAAAAAAGCTTGTACATACAAAACTGGATGCCATATACAAATTTATGCAAATTTTAAAATACTTTGTAAGCGACTCAATTTGACGACTTAACCTGTAATAACAAATTCAATTTGACAATTCTTACCAGTTTATCCGAATTAATATATACTCTTCTTGTACGATGAAAACATTATACATCATATAAATGTAGAAAGTTTACATCATATACGAAGCAACTTAAACATCATGCAATGAAATTCATTCTAATATGGGATTTGGACTAAATCTGTAGTATTTTGCGATTCTATCTATCCATTGTTATACGACTTCTAGTTGTCTGGGAAGTGCATTGATACTCGACAAAAATCACACATTAGCCTGTTTTCATTTAATTATTAACAATAAGAAGCAGGATAAGAATGCTTCGTCACATCTAAAGCTCAATTATAGAAGCTCGAAAAATCTCAAGCTGAAATCTACGAAAAATCTACATACTCTTTTTTGACATAGGATTACGTCTTTCGGAAACATATTGGGGGTGCAATTTCAAAAAACCAAAAATGACCGCATTACGAGAAGTGGTCAGGTTTGACCACATATAACCAACAATCAATACGAAACTAACGATTTTAAATTGCCTCACTACTTGGCTAGCCTATTGGTCCCAAGCAAACGATTAACGTACCCAATTCTAGTCGAAATTCTACTACTACACAATGTTTGTTTTGATTCGCTATGAAAGTTTGACAGATAAAATGAGGGGTTAGTGGATTTTCCTATGTTTCGAGGGGTGAATCGATTAGCTTGGGACCGAAGATAGTACCAGAGCTGAGCCAAAAAGTTGAGCCCGTTATTTCGGGACCTTCTAGTCTTAGAGTTACCTCTATGATATAACCATAGAGGTAACTCTAAGACCACTGGGTCCCGAAGAAAATCATTATTATTTTTGGCTCACTCAGTACCAGAACAACGGTCCCAAGCAGTCCCAAGCTATTTCACTCACCCCTGCATGTTCTGCATGAATCCACACACCCCTGATGTTATCTGTCAAACTTTCATAGCGAATCAAAACAAACATAGTGTAGTAATAGAATTTCAACTAGAATAGGGTACGTTAATCGTTTGCTTGGGACCAATAGGCTACTAAAGTGGTGAGCCAATTTAAAATCGTTAGTTTCGTATTGATTGTTGATATAACTCTGTCAATAGCGGATGGATTTTAATTCTTAACAAGCCAATCGATCAGAAATTTGGCTACGAATCTGCTAAATTGAACACTTTATTAATTTTGAATAGGTCACTACTGAAAATTACACAAATGTTCAACTGTTGCAATAGTGATCAAAATTATCACCGATTGCCTGCAAACAGCGCATTCCTAACACAGATTTCAAATTCGATCTGTCTCCTTGAACGGTGCTTATTCAATCACCGTGTGTGGTGGTGTCCGGTCGGTGGTCCTTTCGGCGCGTAGCGTTGAACATTGTACACAACGAAAGGCTGTCCGCAAGCAGCGAGTTGCAGCACACATGAGCGTCCATTCACCGAAGAAGGAGGAAGAAGCCTCACCGCTACTGATCGGGATCCATCTTCGTGAGTCGCTTGGCCATCTATGCCAAGCACGTCACCCTCGTTCCAAACAACATACACGGATAGAAATTTCCTTATACCTTTTGGCAAATTTTTATTGCTGATTTTTCATAATATGTATAAGTCAAATAATAAGCAGACGCCTAGCAAAAAGTTGGTTAAGATCATGTGTCAAATGAAATGTATAAGTGGTTACACATAACTTTTATGCATTCTTATAGGACCTATGTGGTTTGTCTTATGGAATGTATAAGGCTGATGTTTTGGCAAAAATGTATATGAAACACATGAATAAAATCATTGATTTTCGTTTCGTGTACAGCTCGCCAGCCTCATCCGTGTTGGACACCCTAATAGCATAGAGGTAACTCTAAGACAAGAAGGTCCCAAAATAACGTGCTCGACTTTTTGGCTCAGCTCTGGTACTCTCTTCGGTCCCAAGCTAATCGATTCACCCCTCGAAACATAGGGAAAACCAATAACCCCTCATTTTATCTGTCAATCTTTCATAGCGAATCAAAACAAACATTACGTAGTACTAGAATTTCAACTAGAATAGGGTACGTTAATCGTTTGCTTGGGACCAATAGGCTAGTCAAGTGGTGAGCCAATTTAAAATCGTTAGTTTCGTATTGATTGTTGCTAATAGCTCAGCATTACTTAACCATCACGACAAAATGGTGATGGGAATAATGGACCATAAATTAGATAAAGAGTCTTTTTTGGACATTTCAAGCTGAACATTGCATTAGCTCCTAAGTAACGTTGATCGATTCTCTTCGCTGAGTTTCTCTTTCGTTAATAACTTGAGCACATAACCGTTTCTTTTTGTGTTTGTTGTAATAGATGCTAGATAAAAGCTTCTTATATCGATCAGTGTGCTGAAAATACCTGGGGATGTCATTACATGGCCGTGGGGATACAAAGAGAAAGTTGACGAAGAGAATCTGTCAATGTCACCTAATGCAAAGTTCAGCTTGATTTGTCAAGGTCATCAATCGAATGTCAGTTCTCATATGTTTAAATTTAACATACCATATATTTTTAAGGCAACATTGGGGGTGCAATTTCAGAATCCAAAGTCGTTCGCGGCATGAAAGAGGTCTGATTTTGATCCAGAGATGATGGAATTTAATTCTGAATACGCAAATCGATAGAAAATTTTTCTACGAATTCGTTAAAATAGGGATTTATAATTTTTCACAACCTCACGATTGAAAATTTCACGAATGTGCAAGTGTTGCTATGATCATAAAATGGTCACCGATTGCCTGCGAAAAGCGCTTTCCCTAACACAGATTTCAAAATTGAATTCGATCCGGTCTCACCGAACGCTGTACATTCAATCACCGGGTGTGGTGAGTGGTGGTGTTCTCCAGCACACAACTAAAGGCTCCCCGCAAGCAGCTAGCTATCAAGGCTGCCCTCAACCGCTGATCGGATTCAGTTGCTCATCGTGAGCCGCTGTAGGCCATCTATGCTGAGCGCGTCACCTTCGTTCCAAACAACATACAGCTTGTCAGCCTCATCCGTGTTGTCATAGCTCAGTATTACTCAACCATCACGACAAAACAGTTCTTTTCAGGACCTGCATAAATTATTGTTGTTTAAGAGTTAATTTTCATTGAACGTTTGCTCGCCTTGCTGCCAGCCACATCACCCCCAAAGCTCTTTGATAACACTAGTTTACAAAACAACATAAAAAGTGTGAACTTTAGTGGTTGACCAACGTTTCTAATGCAAAATCCTACGCTGAATTCAATGCCGTGGTCAGAAAAAATTAAAGTAGAGCCATTTTTGAGATATACAAAAATTTTGATTTTTTGAATTTTGAACAAAA